ATTGAGGAAAATGTTAAACAGGAGTGGCCCCGGCACTGAGTCCTGGGGGTCACCACTCGTGACCAGCTGCCAGCTGGATTTAACTCTTTGCACTCAGCCATTCAACCAGTTTTTTTACCCAGCAAAGCGTATGCCCATCCAAGCCAAGAGCAGTCAATTTCTCTAGATGAATGCTGTGGGCAACACATTACCTTACTAAAGTCAAGGTAGACAACATCCACAGCCTTTCCTTCATCCAACAAGTGGGTCACCCTGTCGTAGAAGGAGATCAGGTTTGTTAAGGGCCTGCCCTTCATAAAACCATGCTGACTGGGCCTGATCACCTGGTTGTCCTACATGTGCTGCATAATGGATCTCAGGATGATCTGCTCCATCAGGTTCCCTGGCATTAGTTAGTATTTCACTTGTTTTTCTTTATTTTTGCTTCTTATTTTAAAACCAGCAAACAAAAAACTATGAATATTTGTTAAGGTGTCAGTTGTGCTTTTAATATTCCACGCATGCCTCTTCATCCTTAGTTTTCCTGTATATAGCTTCAAGTTGCCGAAAACAAACAAAAACCCCATTCTTTTCCTATTCACATAATAAAAATTGTAAACAGACATTCATCTTCATGGCAGAAGGAATGATCTATTCTCCTCCATCTGTTTGGGGAATGTTTGTTTTTAATTTAAACTAAAATTTAGTAGCCAATTGCTACTAAATTGCTGGGATTTACACAATAGCCGTGGTGATGGCCAGTTCTGGTAATTCTTCCTGACAATCATTTTTCCAAAACCAGCTGACTTATTTTAATACCAAAAAAAAAATATTTTCCTCTTCTCACTTCAGTTTTTAAATACTGGGGCAGGGAAGTGTAGAATTGCTGCACTACAGTTTCTCAGAGTTATCCCTCCTTTATCTATGAGTAGTGAAACAAACCCTCTGGGGTTGGATGAGAGTGTATGGATTGGAGTCAGGATGACACAGCATGTGTTGGGGGAGGCTGGGAGCTTCTTCCTTCTGTTTTTAGCAACTTGTAAATTTTACTGTTCTCTTTAGTAGCAGGACTCTGCCTTCAGCCCTTTCTCCAGTACTCAATTTCAGTAAAATGGTAGTTTCTATGCATGTACATGAGTGCTCACCTCCTTCCCATTGGCTGTGAAACTGTTGTCATTTAGACAGTCCAGATAAGCCTGTGTAACAAATGCAATTTCTTCGTCCAGTTGCTCCGACCACTCCAGTATGTGAAGTACCCAGCTCTGCAATGACGGGAACAGTGGTGGAACTGAGCTGTAAGGAGACCGAGGGATCCCCTCCGTCTGAATACCAGTGGTACAAGAACGGTGTTGCCTTGTTGGAAAAGACGGGAGCAGGCAGTGCAAGAGCAGCAAACATAACTTACACCATGAATAAAAAGTCCGGCACTCTGGTAAGTGAAATAGTCAACTCTGTCATAACCAGCTACCAAGAAGACCAAATTTACTATTTGGTACAACAATGCGTAGGGGTCTTAATCCAAAAACGCACAAGGTCGTTGGTAGAGATCAGCGTCATGCTGATTCATGTGCTAACAAATGCAGAAGGTGGTTTCTGCCTCAGAACAATGACAAGCCATAGACAGTGAGCGATACAGACAAATTGGGTGAGTTGCAAGGCTGCAGTAATGATAAATGAGCAGAATCTAGAAAAATACATGACGAATTTCACCTCCTCAGTTGGCTAACTAGTGCCAGGTGAGAATCATCTTTCAGTATGTCAACAGAATTACATTTGATAGCACCTTAAAATCGGAAGCAGCAATTTCACATACCTCGGTAGGAGCACTGCTCTAAGGGCAGTCCAAAGCCTGTGCAGTCCAGTGGCACTTACAAGTTCCAGTCCAGTACTTGTGAAGTCAGTGAGAATGAGTTGGGGCTGTAAGCTTAGTTAGTTTTTTTTGGTTTAGTCATAGTTTGTTGTGTGTTTTTCTTTTGGTTTTTTGTTGGTTTGGTTTTTTTCTTTTTCTCAGAACTGGCTGTCTCTTTCTCATCCCTCTCCTACTAGCTGATCCTTCTAAACAAATTGATATATAATACTTGTGATGCATTGTTGGCTGAGATTTTTCATAAACAAAAAGTTGCTTTAGGAACACCCTACTCTTGTGCATGATCAAACATGGAAACTGAAATGTGACTAAGCATCGAGATTTGCTGTGAATCTTTTGGCATGCTATGGAGATTAAGTGGACTACTCAGAATTACTCATCACTTCTGAAAATCTTAGTTTTAAAGTATGGTGTATATTAAAGGGAAAAAAGTTAACAAGTGTGATGATTTAAAAAAATATACAGAGAAACACTGGAGTTGACATGAGGCCAGTCACTGTCCATCTCTTGCCTCCTTATTTTAACTTTTACAGTAGCAATATTTGAGAATTAGTGTAGTTTAGCATTTTTGTGTTGGAATAAGAGGAAGCAGCCTTTCTAGGGCAGGCCAAACCCACAAACTTTCTGTGGGAAATTATTTTTTTGTAGTATGTGATTTTGTTTTGACATTTTTATTGTTGTTTTGGTAAAATTAACAATTGCATGATCTCAGGGTTTTGAAATTAAAAGAAAATGCATTTTAGTGGAAAGTACTAATTCACTGAAAAAGAATATTGTTGTAGATACACTCCATCTAGTTAAATGTCCAGCTAAAAGACCCTCTTAGACCAGAAGCTGAAATTAAGGACTAGGAAATGTGACTAGGCAGGTGAATTATAAGGTCAGTCTGGACCTTCTCAGAATCCCAAAATTGTCAACATGTTAACATTTCTATCCTACAGGAAATATTAAGTATTTTTCCATTCTGGTAATGGTTTTGGACTTTTTCTTTAACAGCTTTTTAACACCGTTACAAAGAATGACACTGGAGAGTATTTCTGTGAAGCCTCCAATGGGATTGGGTTACCTCAGAAGTGCTCAGTGAAGCGAATGCAAGTTGGTATGTGTCAAAGAAAATATGGGTGAGATACAGTCTTGCAGGAGAAATTATTTTATTGCATGATGCAGCTGAGAAGCTCAGACCACATTGAATTGTATGTTTTTGTTTGATTATGGAGACATTCAAAGTCAGGCTTCATAGGGCTCTGAGCAGCCTAATCTACTTAAAGATGTCCCTGCTCACTGCAGGGCATTGGACTAAATGATCTTTACAAGTCCCTTCCAGCCCAACACATTCTACAATTTTGGGGGAGGGGTAATAATGAGTTCCCTATATGTAGTTGCTGTGGCTACTTAAAGCATTCCGTTGTTACAGCACATTCTCACAAACATATCTCACTGTATTTCACAGAAAAAGCAGTTACTGTAGTACCGAAAAATTATTGCAGAGCCAGCCTTTAGGTTGCTAAACACTGAACTTCACAGAACAGCTGCATCCATATGAGAGCCTTAATATTTCAGGATGCTTTTGTGGAAGGTGTACAGGATAATGTGCCAGTCCACTAGGTTATTGTATGAAAAGCCTCCCTTTTAAGATGCATTCATGTGAGATCTTAATGTAACAGATCAGAAATTTAACTCAATGACTCAGTGATACCTGCCAGAGGAACACTGAAGTCAGGGTATCTTAGAAATAAATAGACACCTTCAGCTGCCTGTTTCTTTTCTACTTACACAGCGTAGGTGAAGTGTAACATTGGTTAGCTAATAAAGAATTTAGCAAAGGCTGGAGGGGCAGAGTCTATAGTAACCTAAAACGTATGAATGGTTTTGCAAAATGTAAAACCAGCTCATGCAGATGTGGTAGGAAAGCAGATGGTAACATGACCTAACAAATACTGCACCGAAGTTCATGTCCAAGTATTCTATAAAGCAACTTTCTGGTGTTTTCTTAAAACTTAGCTGAAAATTGCTATATTGCAGCTTTTAATGCAGTCTTGGTTGATTGTGGGCAATTGTTCCACAAGCCACTAAACCAGAATCCCTCTGTTGTGGAAATACTTGCCAAAGTCCTAAATTGTTGTCAACCTGCACAAAAATTGATAGGTTTGGGGGGTAATATTCCCAACCTTAATGTATGTGCATGCTTAAAGTCAGGATCTAAGTAAGTAATTGGACATATAACAAAAAACTATGACAATGTTACTGTTTGGTTTTGTTTTTCTTAAAATGCATGATTGTCTCAAGCTCTTAGTGTTTCTATCAGGAAATGGGTATGGGTCATCACCTTCAAAATAAAAATGGCTAGACGTTTCAGTAGCCCATGTAGTGTTTAACTTCAAACATCAGAGGTAAAATATTGTGTTGAATTTTAAAAGCCTTGCTATTTAAAAATAAAAAAGCACTGAATTTTAAATAACTTGTGACTTCTTCAAGACTAAGATCCCACGCTGGCATCAGCTGTTTCAGTTATTTTAGGCAAACTAACTATATGAAAACACTTTTAAAGATTTTAAGATACTCTCCCTTAAAGACATACAACTTGAATAATACGTATTTGGGACAGGTATAATGAGGAGTGTGCATTGCTTGCCGCCTCTTACTGTTTCCTTGCTTTTGACCCAAATTAAGCAGTGCAAGTGTAGTGAGCACTCCTGATGATGTGGATGTGATGCAGGAGGTGCTTTTGGACTGCTTATCTACCTCTCAGTGCTCCTAATCAGCTTATTCAGCTTGGGCCAAAGGCCACCTATAGATACAAAAGGTGCCTGGGATAATTAGGGGGGGGAAAATCCAGCCAATGGAAATTTTTACAAGTTACAACATTGTGCTTATATTTTGTAATTACAGATGACCTTAATGTAAGTGGTATCATCGCTGCTGTAGTATTTGTGGCTCTGGTAATGGCATTGTGTGGCCTTGGAGTATTTTATGCCCAAAAAAAGGGCTACTTTGCAAGTAAGTAATTCTGCTGACTGTAACATGTCCTGCTTTTCATGAAGGCTGTAACTCCACGGTACTTAAGGGCATTAAAACAGCAACTTCTTTGTGCAGACATTTTTATTCTGCCAACTTCTACTGCAAAAGATACTTCAAGGATGACACAGGGACGTTTGTGCAGTTGCAGAAGGCTACCCCACAGCAGTCAAGGGTTCCTGGAGCCCCTCTGCCCTAGTTTTGAGAGGAAACGGCAAAAAAAGGAGACGTGAAAACAAGCCGCGCAGGTTCACTTTCAGTTTAAAAGGTCTTGAGCGGCCGAGTTCTGGGCGGGAGCGGGGAGAAGACCAAATTAACTGGCTCCCTCTTCTGGGTCATGGCGAAAGCGCAGGTGGGGAAAGCTCGAGTTTAAGAATTGCCGCCGCAGCACCCTCTCCGTAAGCGTTTCCACGGGTGGCTGCGGAGCTGAGCGCAGCGAGGAGCGCTGCCCCACCTCGGCGCATGAGAAGAGCACAGGCGAACGGAGCGGCTGCTGTTAAAGTTCACTCTCACTTGGAAAATCATTTACCACAACCTAATTTTTTTTTCCTGTTCAAACTCACTGCACCAACAAGGGACAGTTCAGAAATTCCTTCTAGAAACTGAGGAGATGAATAAGCTATGAGCAGCTATTTCAAAGAACTTTAAATCAGCTACGGGAACTGTTCTTGTGCTAATTCTCTCTTTTTTTTTTTTTCTTTTTCAGAGGAAAGCTCTTCCCAGTAAGTATCTTGATGCAAGTAGTACATAAATCACTGCAAATTTCGTTTACATTTCTGAGGATTTAGTAACTTTGATTAAGGCCTTTCTCACTCGATTCTTTTACCATGGCTTTTCTGAACACTGAAATAAACCTGATTGTACATGCCAGCTTGCTCTCTTATTAGCAGCAGTGCACTAATAAGAAACTGAATTAAGCATTATTACTGCAATAAATGTGCAGAGATGTATCTTTCCTTATAGTTATTATGTATACCCCTAACTCAGCTACAGGCATACATTTGTCTCCTTTAAACTAGTCAAAAGACGATGAGAACCAAATTGAACTGTCCTCAGATCCATGCCTACAGGTTATTTTTGGAAATGTTTTGTATAAATATGACTGGTGGAAACTTTGAGGGTGTCTGCTCTACTCCTCTGATATGGATTTATTTAATGCACTTACATTTCTTAGTAGCAAGTGAAGATTCCTCAAACTATATTAGTGCTCCCAGGCAAAGCTAAAATTGTGTGCTCTACAGAATTGATGGCTGGACTTCAATTCATATTCTTCTTTGCTTTTACAAGTTTATCTTAGTTCTAGATAATAGCAAGTAAACAAAGAAAGTGATTTTAAAAAGTGATGTACTAAAGAGAAATACTGTGTTATAATACTATGTGATTTATACTGATCATGAACTAGACAAAAAGCACAACTGGGAGACTTGAGAAGATGAGCCACAGGCTCGTTCATGTGATAATGACTGCTCTCTGAAAGCATTCAATGGATTTGTAATTCTAACTTTTCCCAAGAGGGAGGAAAAAAATCCTAAGGATTGCTGGCAATCTGGAAAAATGCACTCATAAATGAGGTCATCAAAGGGTCAAAACTAACAGCAGAAAAGTCACTATTTAACCTATGTTCCTTTCCTGTTCTGTTAACAGAAAGATGACCAACTATCAATCTACAAGTGAAAAGGCAAGTATTTTGCATTCAGTAATGTGTAACAAACTTGAAACATCTTCAAAACTCCTTCAATCTGTGATGTTTTTGCACATTTACACACACATCTCCACACCCTCCAAATGGTACATCCCACTGGTACCTGGAGATACCTCCTCTGTTTGCATTTATAGCTTCCTATTACTCAGTCTCAAGTGCCATACAAATACACCACCTTGTTCCATACTTTGCCATCTCTTGCCACACTGATTTTTACCTGGTTGTCTTACCTACTTCTTCCTACAGTTCTGTGTTCTATTAGCTTCCTTCATTCTTCTTTCTTTTTCATGATTATTTTCCCTCTATCAGATAAACTAAAGTGGTAACACCCTTACACTATTTGGCAATATCATCTTTATACTGTCCACTTAATGGTGCAATTTCTTGTGTAGACTTCCACTCTGCCGTGCTTGTGTGTATCAGTTAACCAAGGAACCTAACTCAGACACAGTCCAAGGCAGCAGTGAGAGAAAGATTGGGACTTAATTCCTCTAACATTAACATGGGTCAAAAGGTTTGACTAAATATAAAAGCTAAACACTACATTTTTCCCCTCTTCCTGAGAGAGCCTGAGGGCTTTAACTGCATGTACATTGCTCCAGCTCTCAGATAGGTGAAAAAAGAATGGAGCTCCAACTAGAACTTCAGCTAGGAGCAATTTAGTTTCACTGTCTGTAGCTTAAGGCTACATCAGTGGCCTTAAAAGCTCGCTGCCCCCCACCCATTTCTTTAATCAAACCAGCACATACTAAATAGCATAAGCTTATATATTGCAGGTGAAGGAATGTAAGAGACTCACTTGAGGCCAACTACCTGGTTGCTCTGAGTGGGAAGGAGCAAGCTTTGAAGAGCTGTGGTATCTGTTTCTCAGTATTAATGCACTTGTGAATCAGATGCTCAATGGTGCATCTCAACAGATGCTTGTATTTTCTAATAGGTTATTACTTCTTTTCTGGAGAGCAGTGCATTCTGTAGACTTCCCCTTCCAGAAGAGGGTAAACATTAGTTAGCGGTGCTTCGGGCATGCTCCTTTTCAATCTGGATGCCTTAGTTTCTCCTGAAATGTATGCTAAATGTTAATCTGTTTAAAATCGTGGAACTATGACTTATGTAACCTTGTCTGTTTCCTTCAGGATTTCAAGCACACCAAGTCCTTTGTTATTTAGAAGATTTCAGCCTCTGTGAGGGACATCACATTGACTACTTGTTATACAAAAGTATCAAAGGGATCTTTTGACCTCTACTCTGTAAATATTGTTTCCATGTACTACATGCTGAAAATAGAAACTGCCAACATTTAGATCTACATCAACCTGTCTGTGATTGCTTATTAAAAAAAAATGCCAGAAGAGAGAACAGAATTGAAAATACAAATCAACTCCTGTGAAGGCTTCTGTTTTTGTTCACGCGCACATGCAGCAATACGGGATTCACTCCTACAGCTTGGAACAATCTATTCCAATAACGTCCATAGATGATCTTGCCACCGCTACTTCTGCTACTTATGCCTCCACCATTCTCAAGGGCTCCAACTCTCCTGCAGTTCTGACTCCCTGTTACCTGCAAAAGCCATCTGTGAGTAAGCAATTGTGCAGGCTTAAACTCACTATCCTGACAGAATAAAGCTTCCTGTAACTGAGGCTCAGTGTTTTATTGTCTAATATAAAATGCCTACAGCTTCTCTTCCACAAGGAAGTGTATCTCTCTCTCTGTAGACTGCTCATGTAATTTCATTCTGAAGAAAAATCATGCAGTACAACTCAACCTGTAATATCTGAAGTGTCACAAATAAATAGTTCCTCACAACCTGAAGTGTTTGTGTCAACAGTTCAGCTACTGAAATTTAAAGCTTGCAACCTCAGTACCAGATTTCAGGTTCCTTCTAGAAGACTAACACTTCATTGCTTACATGGTATTGATGCAGTGTAAAATGAGTATATTTGCACCAATGCTTTTGACTCTGCAGGTCCATTACTACCCTAAGGCTTTGCTACAGATTTAAGGTTCAGGTTTTGTTTGGTTGGTTTTTTTGCTGCAGAAGCTTTTTAGATGTGACAAACTCAGAAAAACAAGAAGTTCCTTCTTGGTGTATCATAATCAGTGTTTTAAGTGTTCAGCACTAAAACACAGTGTAGCAAAGCAGTTTTGCAGTTTAATATTGTGAAACACCACACAGATGCCATCAACTTGGAAGAGCTGATGACCACAGCTAACATACAGTTAAGAACTTATTCACGCTTCTGAAATCAAACTGAAACACTGCATTTATTAAGTTACAACTGATGCCATGTTCAGCAACTCCATAGATGCCGTGTCGGTGTATGACCTGCAGAAATCACTTTGGAGTCTCCTCAAACTTGGGCTCTAAAGGACAAAGAGGAGAGAAAAAATGTCGCATTAGTCTCTTTTTTTATTCCATTTTATTTTTATTTTTTATTCAAACACCATAATTGAACTGTTACTCAAAGAAAACCAAACACCAAGTTGGCGAGATAAAGCAAACTCTTGCACACTGCAGTCTATGCCACCGTTTACTCTGCTTGCATGGGGTATGATTGGATGTGGGCTGCACTGAAAAATAAAGTACGCTGGAGACAGGTCTTTTCCACCTTAGAGGAGTTACGCATGAGGTTTAAGACAGATGTGCACCTCTGTAACATGCTGCCAAAACAGCTTTTAGCAACGCCTGGGGTAGGGTGGAAGGCAACAGAGAAAGTGAAGGAGTCAAGCAGAATGTGACTGAACATGAGTGGTATTTCCAATATAGCCCCACTATAAGAACAAGTAACCAAGCCTTTCTTCCCTCTTGATTAATGTCTTACCGCTGATTAACAGAACCGAGTGCGCAATTTTAACTTCACTCTGCAAAAGATATTCTCCACAAACAACACTGAGGAAGGAGTTCTTGATGTCAGAAGTAAAAACTCGGATCAGGGTTTCTGACAGGTGAGCTATTAGTGCCTGTTCTCCTTACTACAAGGAGTCTGCAAAGTAAGGCTCAGCTGTAATAATCTTCACAAAGAAAAAAATTAAGTTTCTACACACTTAGTTTTGGGAACTTTTTGAAATTAGCTTAGGGACATGCAACAGTGGTAAAAGCGCACAGGTCTCTTCCCACTTTGTTTGGATCCTGTGGTCACACCAATCTCCTTTCAGTACCAAACCTAAACTTTAACGTAGTATTATTTCACATACTAGATGGAAATAAAACTGAATATAAAGAAACCACATCTGTAAAACTGGGTTGGGGGAAGAAAAGATGCTGTTTTATTCGCACCTGTTAACTGACACCAAATACTGTCTTAATCCAACTGAAATTATCACTAAAACTCAGAACATTTTTAGGTGTGTTCCTAGTCTAAATTAACAAGTCCAGGTAGTCCTGTCAAAACTACAAGTCACTGGCTACTGTGGCTTGACCTTGGCTGGCTGCCAGATGCCTACCAAGCCTCACTGTCCTTTCCCTTCCCCCTCAGGAGGGGTGAGAACAAAAAGCAATTTTTCATCCTTTTAAAAATATGTTGTCACAGAGGCACCACTCGCATCACTGACTGGCTTAGTGGGTTCATCTTTGAGCTGAAAAAAACTGGCTCTTGTCCAACACCACACCCCCCGGCCTCTCCTGACAGAGGCCACTCTTGCAGCCCCGCTACCAAAATCTTGTCACATAAACCAAACACCCTGGCTCGTTCAAAGGATTGCTGAATCCCAGCTACCAGCTGCTTGCAGCTTATCAGAAAGACAGCTTAGGCTTTGCAAAACCCAACCTTAGCTAGAAATGCTTGTGAGTGATGAAAACTTACAGCTGTACTTAAATTAGCAAACAAAAGAAATAAACAACTATAGAAATGAGCCTGTCTGTAAAAAAGTAAAGTTGCTTTTTGCAACCTAAGGAAGACGGAGTCTGTGCAGTTTCTCTGCACTCTTGATAAACCAACTGTCACAAGCAGTCTACTTGTCTTCTGGGTAACATGAAAACACGCCAACACAAACTTAGAGCAGCTGGATGGAAAACATATCCAAATAACTGAAGGAAAAGGTTTAATATCATTGAGTCATGAAGTAATCATAAGTAACAAAGTTACATTCTATGTCCGTTTTCTGAAATCACTGAGTTGCCAGATGAGCTTACAAAATTTAGAAATTGTTGTTTGGATGACATGGACAACTAGTTTTCATATTACAGTTTGCTGCCCTCTTTGGGAGAGTGAGAAAAAAATACAATAGGCCCTGGGCTATTTCTTTAGGGTCTCTGAAGGGTAATTAAGAAAGCTTGATCCGACTGCAGGTTTTGCTAAGGATCAGCGTAAGTAAATCCACAATTCCACTGGAAAAGGCAAAAAAAAACCCAAAAAAGGAGTCAGGATGAACCAGGTATGGACTGTGTGAAAGTATGGAGATTCACTTAAGAGCACCTTATGTGAAATTAATGGTCCAAATAAAAACTAAAATGGAACTGATTAAGAAAATAAGTCAGCAGACATGTCCTTACTTGCAGTTAGAAATTCAGTAAGATTGCAAACTCACCCTCAAATTTAAATTCTGGAAACTTGGTTAGATCTCCCTCACCATAGGCCCGTTGGAGTCTAGCAAGGGATTCATTCATGTCTTTCTGAAATTCGGGGCCTGCATCAACAGGCCCTCCAGCTTGCCTAAAAATAATTAAAAGTTCTGATTAACAGTTCAGTTCTGAAAGTTCACATAGAAGTTCTACATTTTCGTGGCCATTTATGATTTTAAAACCTTTCTGACAGCCGAGCAAAGCAAACCATTTAATATACTCTCGAAAGTCAAAATATGACACACCTTAGGGCCTACTTACCTTACATATAAACAAGGTTCTCAGGGTACAGTATAGGCTTTCTACTATCAGTGATGAAAATCCAAGCTATGGAGGAAGCCTTCTGAGACCCAAAGGCACACTGGGTATCCAGGCTTTCAGGGGTCTTTGACTCACTTGTTCCAGATGCGATTACCTTACAAGATTGTAACTTGTACCTCTGGTGTTTCTGAATTAATGTAAGTAAAGCTTAACTGTTCTTGCAAAAAGAATATGTTTTGAATACTAAACAACTGAAAAAAACCCAAGAGACTGAGTACCTTGCATTTGTACAGATTCAGAGCACCATTTCTTGGGATACAAATATAAAATAATTAAATTAAAATCTTTAGATTACCAATGCTCAGTTGTACCAATACAGATATCATTTAAGTTTGGTAAAGCCACCAAAAATATGCCTCCCTACACAGGCTAGTTTGTAGGTATGGAAATACACATCTTCCTCCAGTAGAATAAAGAAGTGTCTTCCTTCCTTCCTAAGGATAAATTACCCAGAATTACTATAGTTTTAGTTTCTTTTAAGTAGTTCATTCACACATTACAAGAATGTAAGATTCCATTTGAACAAACTGCTTATTAACTTAACATGTTTACTGAATCAGCTTCACAGCTCCACTAATTCCCAATTCCTTTTGGAGGTTATTTCCATGCAGATTCTGGAAATATGGCTGACAAATACCTCTTTTCTCTAGACAGACAACTTTTTATTTTTGTTGTTCTCTATTTACAGAGCACATACACAGGTTAAAAAATAGCGTACTTTTATGGTCACATAGCACTCAAAAAAACTTAATTGAGTGCATTAACTCCCTCAAAAGAATGACATCAGGTTACCTTTTTCTTATTTTTAAACGGGAAAAAATTGACATTTCCTGTCTAGCATGCAAGAACAAGCCTTCTCACTTCTGACAATATCTGTGTTGCAGGAAAGTATACCTTAAGCATGTAGAGACCAAGCTACAAAGCTAGCATTTGTCAAAAGCAACAGTTTTCCCCCTTTTGCCACTAGCCTTTAAATAATTTCCTTTACTTACTTGCTCTTTGTGTTGTACTCTCTAATCTTGTCCAAGAAGAGCCTCTGAACTGGATCGAGCTCTTTTGCCTTGTTAAAGACAATAGCAGAAAGCCCTATGTTTCTGCGCAAGTGAATGGAAACAGCAGAGCGAAAAACGGAAGAAAGTCGCAGAATCTGATGCAGAATCATGATGACGCTAATGTTTTACCTAAAAAAGAATAAAAATAAAACCAAGACATATTAGAAACATGGAACCAGCTAACTCTTTCTGCAATGGAAACGTGTAAAGAAGTAGAAAATTAAGTTCGGAGCTGAGCTTTGAACCAGGAGCGCCTGGGCGGG